TGATGTGGCAAGAACTGATTTCTCTACAAAAGTCTAGATCAAGTGTTTGCAGTCATATCCTGTTCTGAGACTGTGTTGTGCTTTCTTCTTCCATTTCCAACAACATATCTTTGTGAAGCAGGGTTTTCCAGCTTGTTGGTTATAAAGTCTAAATATAGAAGTAGACTTGTTGTGAAAGATGATCTTTGTTGTGCTCTTGCAAACACTGTCCTGAGAATTTCTGATTTGATGAGAAAGAAACTATCTCAACCTATGCACTGACATTAGCTTTTTACTAATACTTTCGCAATATGTAGCAATGTAGTTTACTGTTGTTATATTAACATTGTTACCCATGTTATACCATGCTTGAAGACAAAATTTCATTTATTTGTAATTAGAAATAAATATTTCACAATATGTAATTACATATTGTTTTTGTGATTAATAGCCATGGTTTAATTATGTTCAATTTTTAACAATGAAAATATATCATGCATAGCAGATATTTACATTATGATTCATAACAGGAGCAAAATTACAGTTATGAAGAGTAGCAATGAAAATAATTTTATGGTTGGGGGTCACCACAATATGAGGAACTGTATTAAAGGGTCATGGCATTAGGAAGGTTGAGAACCACTGCTCTAGAATCTAGTACATCTCCTTCCTGTTCCATGTATATGCTTACCAGGGCTTGCATGCCTGAAATTATAAAAACTTTTGAGAGAATACATTCACCTCTCTCTCTCTTTTCGCTATCCTTCGAGTGAAAGGTGAGCCTTGCATGCCTTGTCTAATATTTATTTAATTTACCTTTCAATTACATAACCATCCCTTAGGACCCATTCAGTTGTGGAAGCTGGTCCCCAATAGGTAATGATTCTCCACCCTACTTGTGAAATTCGACAAAGAGGTGAGATGCTGCTGCCACACCATTTTATAGGATTCATGGAAGTTGGGATGTAAGTTTAGAAGCATTCTGCTAAGTTCCCATGAGAACTACAAAGCTGGAAGAGCTTTGTTTTGCTCAGAAAGTCCTTCTGAGTTTAAAAGAATTGGTGACATTGAGGTCTATGAGTTAGACTAGGATGTGAGGCTATATTTCTGCTGCACGTTTTATTTCTTTATTTTTATTGTAACAGATGGTGACTTACATTTCAGATCTTCAACCCTATATATCATAATTGAAGCTACTGATCAAATCCCCCAACAACCTACCCTTACCCCATTCCTTGGTTTGCCCTCTGCTTCCCGGAGACCACCATCTTCCACTACACCGGGTAACCACTCTTCAGCTGTCCAGCCCCCACTCTCTGTCTTTGGTAAACTAGAAAGTCTGTTTCCTGTCCTGTATTTTTGTTTTTTTAACATTTTATTAGGGGCTCATACAACT